TAATCTCAAAAGGCTCAGATTAACTTCTTGGTTTAGAAGGAATCTGCGCCACTTAAGATGAACCTCGGGTGACTTAAATTACTGTATAGAGAACTAAACTAGTTATAATAGAAACACCATGTATAAAAAATCAACAAACACTTTATTAAATGTCCGTAATTAAAGGACTCAAAAGACAATCAAAAATCGATATAATAATAAAATTTGGGGTCCTTACCTCATTGTCATGGAGCAGTCACAATTTTCACTTTATTTTATTTTATCCCCAGAAATATTTATTAGTATTTATTTTGTATAATTATATTTTTATGTTATATATATTTTACAAACCCCAATTATTTTCTCTGTGATCGATTGCGACCACCTTTTTTGCCGTCCCGCAAAACTCTCAATGACCCCCTAAAATAAACCGACTAGGTTCGATTTCGCAAGACTTCCAAAATCGTCGAGTCAGCACCAAGTTCATTAGTTTTTAACTTAATTGTTATGAAACTATGAAATGCATTCTCTACGATTTAAAAGTATTTCGAAATCGACCTACTATTCAGAAATAATTTAACATACAGGATGTTAAATTATTTACTGAGCCGAATGAAAATAAATTAATTCCATTTAAGGAATAATTGTGACAGTACACATGTGGGATAGAAGAAGCTACCTAGAAAGCACTGAACGATTGGACAAAATTAGCTAAATAGTATAATAAGGTACCAATATTGCAAAGGTTCACTAAAACCTTAAATGGTGAACGATGATAAAGCTAGATTGGTAAAAAATAATAAACGAATACAACAATGACTAGGTACATAATATTATATTAGATTACTAGAAGATAGCTAAGTTCGCTGATTTCTTACCTAAGACGCAGAGATATATCTTTTTTAAATCAAGCCTTTTAACTTTTTTTGCATAGATATTTATAAAGTGCTATAATGTAACCTAACTATGACAATTTATTAGAAGAGCATAAATTATATTTTTATATAAAAAGATTTTACTTCTCAATACATTGAATAAAAAAGAAATTGATAACTTGTTTACCTATTATTAATTAAAGGAAATTATATAGAAATTAAAAAATATGCCTTACTTTGTTGTTTTAAATAAAACAACCAATGTTAGTGTATTGAAATTTGTTTGAATTTTACAAATTTTATGCTTGATTTCCAAAGTAGATATATCGATGGCTCAATCAAAAACCGCCACAAGTCAAAAAACAAAGCAATTACATTTTTGGTTCAATGGATGCAAAATATTACGGTTTTACTTTAAATACCACCACAAACAAAAATATCCTTAAAGATAAATCATTTAAAATGTAGCCACAAACTGTGTCTAAAACTGCCTCAATTCGAGTTATTTTCTTCAAAAACACCCAAATTTTTTACAATTATGCAACAACTCACTTTTATAATTGTAATCATTTTATTTAACAGCAAAATATCGAAGCTTTTAAATAAAATATAAAGAGTATGTCAAAAACAAAATAATGATAATAGAGACTTACAAAATTTCAAAATGAAATTTCTCGAAATAATAGTATTTTAGTTGTGGCAGTATTTGATTGAGCCATCGATATGTAGATTTTATAAAAAACAACTGGTGTTTTTTAGCAAGATATTCTATTATACTCGAGAGTATCATCTATGATTTCTCTCAACTTTTCTGCTGGGTTTTCACTTGAACTGATGGTTGCATTTCCAGGCAATCTAGCCTGTTGAAGAGAATGAACTGCTTGAATTCTGATATACCTGACATATCATGTACCTATAGATTCACTTTTTATAAAACTTCAGGTGTTATATTCTTCTTTACACTTCTGTAGTATTTACTTTTGCTTCTAAAATTCCTAGAATGTCCAAGAAAACCTAAAAAATAATATTTTTAAAATGTATTTTTAGTTCGATAAAGTATAATTACCTTTTATAAGTATTTGGTGTAAAATGTTGCCGGACATTCGGTTAAATGTTTATCTTCTGGTTTACAACGATTGATCGGCAATTCTTTGTTTTTATTGTAGTTTTTTTTTTAATTTGGTATCATCGGCATCGACTGCTAAAGATACTTAATGAATGAAATAATAAATTTACATCAGGCATTGTAATCTGAAACAAAGACAATGGTTTAGAAAATAGTTATCTATTTTATAGAAGACCCTTACCAAATCTATTCGAATGTATAAATAATAATTATTTATAAAATAAATTCTGGATGTCGAAAAATAAACCATTAAAAAAGACAATTGACAAGAAAAACTGACAAGTGACAATTGACATAAAACTAAACGTTCTGAATTTAGATTTGTAATGTTTACGGTAGGTTAACTAGGTAAATAACAAATAGAAGTTTTGCGAGGTTTTGATTTCCCTCAACAACTTCTCATGAACGTTGCATTTACGTTGTACAGTAATGTTATTACGTTCCCTTAATGCAACATCGCCGAAAGGCTTGGCAACATTATGTGCTAGCTGGGGAACTTCTCATTATTTTGATATACAGCCACCCACATGCTTCAACCGACGATTCTATCTTCAGAATGGCAGGAAGATTCAAATATGTTGTTCTAATCGGTGACTTCAACTACCGCTCTTCAGGCAAATTAAAACAGATTCAAACTTTTATGCATAACACAAACTTTATTAAAATACTCCCTCTACTTTTTTGATGGCTAACAATGAGGACTCCACCCCAGATTTGTTAATGTACACTGACAATCTTAGCAACGCAATCAAGAATATAGAAGTAATCCCCGACATTGGGGCAAACCACCATTCTATAATGTTTACTATCGAGCAAGGAATGCCCTCTCCTTTTGCAGACCCACCTCTTAAAACTGCAAACAAATATATTATTTATGAACTTCCTAGATACATCGTAAAACTCATCAAAACAAAACGTACAATGCTCAGAGAATACAGGCAAAAACCTAGTCGAGAATTCAAAACAAACATCAACAACTTTAACAAAGACATTCAGCAATTAGTAAAACAATTTTAGCAACACACATGGCTACAGACCTACCAAGAAATTAATCTGGAACAGGGAAGAAACTTCTATCATAAAATAAATAAACTGTCAAAATATAAATCAAGAAATAAAATTCCAAATATCACAGATAATGGTATAGACTATGCCACAGATGAAGAAAAAGCCGATGCATTTATGGAGAACTTTATTAAAACATATATAACGGAACGAAAGACTCATCTTTTGAACAAGAAAACTGTATTAATGTAAACTCATGCTGCAAACAATATTTTAGAAACAACCCAATCAATGAGGAAGATAACACAGAATTCGAGGAGGAAAAATGCTTTCAAATACTATCCAATCAGAAAACATCCGCTCGAGGATCGGACATGATCCCATGGCAAATTGTAAAAAAACTAGAAATATAATATACATATCTATATTATAAAAATGTTTGTATTCTGTTACAAAAACTAGTACTTTCCAGATCAATGGAAAAAAGGCACCATCATAGTTATCCCAAAACCAAGCACAGACCACAAAAGAATTTATAATTACAGACCAATCACCCTTCTTCTAATTTTGGGAAAACTATTCGAAAAACTTATTAAGGTAAAACTATCAGCATTAGTAAACCAACGAATTCCGCAATTCCAATTTGGGTTTAGTGAACAAATCTCCGCTTTAGTACCAACCACTCTCCTGGTTTCCAATGTGCAAACAACAAAATTGAACAATAAAAAATCTGCCATTTTCCTGTTTGGCATTAAAAAAGCCTTTGACTGTGTCTGGCACAACGGCCTCCTATTTAAACTAAAACTTTTTAATGTGCCTGATGGTCTTATAATTCTTATCAAAACCTTACTTCAAAACAGAACTCTAAGAGTTAAAATAAATAACCAAACATCTCCAAGTTTCATAGCAAATCAAGGTGTACCGCAAGGGTCGCCACTATCTCCGCTCCTTTACAACATATATTGCTTTGATTTTTTTCAGGTCAATTACACCTCAATGCAGTAAATTACATACTTCCATACGCAGGTGACACGGCCTTGATATCGCATGGAAATACGCTGAATCAAACCATCACAGCACTACAAAATCAATATAACGAAGTTGCTCAATGGCTCAATAAATGGAGATTACAAGTTAACCCACAAAACTGTCAATTTATGATACCCTATCATGATCTAAGACCGACATGATCTACACTCATCATATCTAACCAACCAATCTATCCCGTATCCTCAGTGAAATACCTATGCCTTATTATTGATAATAAGCTGAACTTCAATGAATACACCCGCAGACAAAAAACAAAATAAAACCAGAGCCAAACATTTCCGCCCTTTAACATACAAAAAAGAAGGTATCAACATCTACATGGCCACTAATATCTACAAAACAATTTGCAGACCTCTCCTGGAATACATATTTAAACTGCCGAAAACCTGCATTAAGAAACATTCAAGTGGCTGAAACTTCTACACTAAGAATTATTACCAAGATTCGACATCCTGAAAACCCCACTCACCATCCAGCGAATATATATCTTTAATAGTGACACATATTGTTGTTTTTCTTTTAAGTATCTTAATATTCGTATTCATCATACACATATAGCTTGTAAATCCTCATACATACCATACAAATTGTACTGGCTTGAAGGACCTAGGTCGATGGCCATTTGGTTGTAATATTCATAACCAATAAAGTGCTTTTATTATTATTTGATTTTTAGAAATTTTTTAAACTCATGCCACATCAACTTACTGGTCATGCCACATCAACTTACTGCCACATTGTTTGGTGGTACTTCAACATTAGCAATCAGGGATACTTCATACCTTTCTCGCGTTCATCTAGCGATATGTAAAATAATGTATTGTTTAAATACAATTTTGGAAAATTATTCGATTTAACTTTAGGTCTGCTTATACGTTTTTATCACATACCCCGTCCTTAAATTCTAACTTAAAACTATCGTTTCAAAAACTGTATTCAATAAAAACTTTTATTTTTTCAGGTAGGATGATGGAATGCGGCAAAATGACACCCGTCCACGCTCCGCCGATATTTTTCTCCAAAACGCCCATCTGTGATAAGAGTTTCGATTATGCCTACGTCCATGGCTATCGGGGGTCATATCCCGCATCGTTTTTAACTCAACTTAGTGTCTTAATCAAAAGAACTTTCTTAATAATCACTAGAGATAAAACGCTGACCATTTCGAGGTTCGCAACTCATATAGTTATAGCATTGTTCATAGGTATTTTGTATTTTGGAATTGGCGTTGATGCATCAAATATGAGGAATAATTCCAATTATATGTTCTTTTCGGAGATGTTTTTAATGATGACGGCGTTCAATTCAGTCCTTACTACGTGTAAGTATAATCAACACTTTATTTGATCATAAGTACAGGGATTTTCATAGTAAAATATACTGATATGGAGAATAATTTATTTTGGGACGGGTTCTACATAACATGGCATCTAAAATTTACAAATTTAATAATCATCTTTCTTCTCTACCTTTCCTGCCTTCTCGTTGTTTCAAATGTTATTATCTTCTCTATTTCTAAACTGCTTTTTGCATCTCTACTGTCTACTACTAAGTTGATAACAAATACAATGTTCCTTTTAAATAAAGTATTTTATTTAATACCATACATACAACCATTGTATCATTATTTTCTTGTCCTAAGATCATCCCAGGAACATCAAAATATAAACAAAACAATTTAATGTGCACATGTACTTGAATAACATTCAACAATCTATATACATAAAATTCCAAATCTTATAGTGTAGATAGGACAATCATCAATAATTATTATGTAACTACTAAAACCTATTTTTTTTTTATTCCAACAATATCCAACTAACTATATAAATCTTAAATTTCCATCTCTCCTATCATAATCTTCCAATTCGTTTGCATCTGCACTCTACAATTCTTTTACTCGTACACTATTCACCATTTTAGTCCTGTCGCTCCTACTGGGGTTTCCCTATTGATTCCGAAATTTTCTATCCTCTACTCTCTCTTTTTCTATCATCAGACCCATTCCCATTGTAATCATTTTATTTAAAATTATTCATTTTATGAAAATTTCCATATCTATTTTGCTTCTCCATTATACCCTTCATTATTTTTTTCTTTGCTACATATCTAATGAGTTCCTTCTCCTTAATCGGTGGTTGCACATTCTGCGCTATACTATAAAAATGCAAAATATATTGACTGCATCTAACGCTTTCTTCTTCTTCAAATTTTTTTGAATACAACTGTTCCCTACCATTCGCCTGGAGAAATTCACCCAATTTTATTCCTTGAAAACTTTCTCAAAATGATCCAATGAATTACCTACTTGGAAACCAGATCGACAGATAAATAGCTTGTTTTTTATGTTCTAATTTTCCCCTGTGATCTCATTTATATTTCTTACTATCCTAGCACCACTCCCAGCTAGCACAAAAACATCCCATCTACGTTAATAAGCTGCAATTTTAGGCTCTTTAAGCTCGCATGCAATGTACCGTAAACGTAACCCTATTATCCCTGCAACTACCGAATGTCCGCAACTGCAAGACTTTTATAGCACATCTCGTAGAAGTTATAAAGTGAAGTTCGGAAAACATCACACTAGCACTTTTACGGTACTTACCCCGAAAGTTGCTCTGAAACGTTCTATTAATGTTATAATGTGAATTAGATCTACAGCATTATACAGTGTGTCAACGGATGGGCTTAACTATACTTGTGAAAATATTTATTTTAAATTAAAAAAGTAATTCTTCATAATTTCTTGCTTGTTAAATAAATTCGATTCACATTGAGAAATTATGAAAAATAACTTTTTCTTTAATTTAAAATAAATATTTTTACAAGTATAATTAAGTCCATCCATGGACACACATTGTGTAATGTAATACAGAGAGGCTGAAATTGAGGCTATAGTAAAATCTCAATCGAGACATGAAAATTTCAAATAAAACAAAATATTTATATAAATTTATTATTAAAATGTTCTTGAAATCAAGTACCAATAGCACAAACGTAGAGGTAGGTGTAGGCGTGTTCTTTTATTCAGTGCTGTATCCAGCGCTTGCAGCAAACCGTTCGTAAATTAAGTGATGGAAAGACGATTGTATGTGTCAATCATTCTTTTTTCCAGCGGTGAGTTCACCAATGAGCCAAGGCATCCATCGGCTTTAAAAGCCGATGGATATGTGATAGACGAATGGTGAGGATAATCAATCATTTAAGTTAACCTAAAATATAAGAGTTCAAATATAAAACGACTGCAGAATAGATAAATTACATCAATCACTGATAGAACAATTATTGAATAAAAGAACACACCTTATATCACAAACACAAGTACACATGTGGGATAGAAGAAGCTACCTAGAAAGCACTGAACGATTGGACAAAATTAGCTAAATAGTATAATAAGGTACCAATATTGCAAAGGTTCACTAAAACCTTAAATGGTGAACGATGATAAAGCTAGATTGGTGAAAAATAATAAACGAATACAACAATGACTAGGTACATATTATTATATTAGATTACTAGAGGATAGCTAAGTTAGCTGATTTCTTACCTAAGACGCAGAGATATATCTTTTTTTAAATCAAGCCTTTTAACTTTTTTTGCATAGATATTTATAAAGTGCTATAATGTAACCTAAATATGACAATTTATTAGAAGAGAATAAATTATATTTTTATATAAAAAGATTTTACTTCTCAATACATTGAATAAAAAAGAAATTGATAACTTGTTTACCTATTATTAATTAAAGGAAATTATATAGAAATTAAAAAATATGCCTTACTTTGTTGTTTTAAATAAAACAACCAATGTTAGTGTATTGAAATTTGTTTGAATTTTACAAATTTTATGCTTGATTTCCAAAGTAGATATATCGATGGCTCAATCAAAAAACGCCACAAGTCAAAAAACAAAGCAATTACATTTTTGGTTCAATGGATGCAAAATATCATTACGGTTTTACTTTAAATACCACCACAAACAAAAATATCCTTAAAGATAAATCATTTAAAATGTAGCCACAAACTGTGTCTAAAACTGCCTCAATGGGCCCGTTCACTTTCATTTTTGAATGTGAATTAATTATATATTTATAAAGATATTAAACTCTTTTGTCTGGTGGTACTTTTCCCGCTAAGATATTTTTGCTAGAAGTAAGGGAATTCCCATAAAATTCTTTCAGTGACTCATTGCGTCAGAAAATCCCTAATTCCGTTCACGTCTCGTATCGGTTATGCTTAAAGACGGCGAGGTTGTCGGAAGTATCCCTAATATAGCATTTCTGCATTTATATATGTAATTTAAATAGCAAAATTCCATTATTTTTCTAAAAATCATGAACTTATATTTTCAGATTTAAAGCTGGGCTTATTTTTTAATTTTAAATTAAAACAATTATTTATTACTCAGGCTGAAAATTAACCAGACCATAATCAAAAAGTAGAAATTTGATTTGCAATATTTATCTGGTAAACGTGGCAACGTTGCATTTATTTCTAGAAGTATGTGTAGACAACACTATTTAGAAGCACTTACAACGTTGTCACGTTTACCAGATACATTTTCTCAAATAAAATTTCGATCTGGTAATATTCAGCTTGAGTAATACTAATTGTTTTTATTAAAATTTAAAGAAGGTAAGGCTTCCAGCTTTATCTGAAAATATAAACACATTATTTTTAAAAAATAATATATTTTTATCATGTAAATTTCTTTAATAAATGCAGAAGAGGAATGGTGGTGCAATGATACATCCGACAACCGCGCCCTTTTAACTATTGACCGATACAAGACCTGAAGGGAATTAGGGGTTTTCTGACGCAATGAGTCACTGAAAGAATTTTATGGGAATTCCCTTACTTCTAGCAAAAATATCTTAGCGGGAAAAGTACCACCAGACAAAAGAGTTTAATATCTTTATAAATATATAAAAAAACACCCAAATTTTTTACAACTATGCAACAACTCACTTTTATAATCGTAATCATTTTATTTAACAGCAAAATATCGAAGCTTTTAAATAAAATATAAAGAGTATGTCAAAAACAAAATAATGATAATAGAGACTTACAAAATTTCAAAATGAAATTTCTCGAAATAATAGTAATTTAGTTGTGGCAGTATTTGATTGAGCCATCGATATGTAGATTTTATAAAAAACAACTGGTGTTTTTTAGCAAGATATTCTATTATACTTGAGAGTATCATCTATGATTTCTTTCAACTTTTCTGCTGGGTTTTCACTTGAAATGATGGTTGCATTTCCAGGCAATCTAGCCTGTTGAAGAAAATGAACTGCTTGAATTCTGATATACCTGACATATCATGTACCTATAGATTCACTTTTTATAAAACTTCAGGTGTTATATTCTTCTTTACACTTCTGTAGTATTTACTTTTGCTTCTAAAATTCCTAGAATGTCGAAGGAAACCTAAAAAATAATATTTTTAAAATGTATTTTTAGTTCGATAAAGTATAATTACCTTTTATAAGTATTTGGTGTAAAATGTTGCCGGACATTCGGTTAAATGTTTATCTTCTGGTTTACAACGATTGATCTGCAATTCTTTGTATTTATTGTAGTTTTTTTTTATTTGTTGTCATCGGCATCGACTGCTAAAGATACTTAATGAATGAAATAATAAATTTACATCAGGCATTGTAATCTGAAACAAAGACAATGGTTTAGAAAATATTTATCTATTTTATAGAGGACCCTTACCAAATCTATTCGAATGTATAAATAATAATTATTTATAAAATAAATTCTGGGTGTCGAAAAATAAACCATTAAAAAAGACAATTGACAAGAAAAACTGACAAGTGACAATTGACATAAAACTAAACGTTCTGAATTCAGATTTGTAATGTTTACGGTAGGTTAACTAGGTAAATAACAAATAGAAGTTTTGCGAGGTTTTGATTTCCCTCAACAACTTCTCATGAACGTTGCATTTACGTTGTATAGTAATGTTATTACGTTCCCTTAATGCAACATCGCCGAAAGGCTTGGCAACGTTATGTGCTAGCTGGGCTATCTCCACTATCTTTTTACTATTTCTTCCATACAAATCACTGATGTATCTTTCACTTTTTTTATTGCATCTTTTACCTTGTACAATGCCGTTCGCAGTTGTACCATAAATAAAATACGATTAATGGAAACTTCTTTCTTTTTAGAAAAATATTCTGTGATTTTTTTAGAGAATTAAAAAAAATCATATTTTTCTAACTTTAAGTATAACTATTACCATGACAACAATAGTTATCGCCACAGTACCCCTTCCCTAGAATCATGGTAAGAGCTAGCCTCGAAGTGTTGT